GCTTGCGCAGGGGGTTGGACCAGATGATCTCAAGTGGTCACTTCTAGCCTGAACGACTCTGTGATTCCGTAAGGGTTAGCCTGACTTGAGAGCCAGACACTGGTTACCATGCAAATAGTATAGGGAGGCACAAAGGAAGCAGCTTCCAGTGTTGCTCACTGTAGCTGAGCTCTAAAGAGTGCTTCCCCCTGGATGGGTTCCTTTCCTTCTCTTTCACCCTTTTCACCTGCATCCCAAGTATGTCTTGTACTGGAAGGTGTGCTCTTTGGCATCACTTCCCAAGGAAAGCTGAGGCTGGCAGTAGCTTGGTACCAAAACCAGCCTGTTTGACCCATTGCATCTCTCACCAGCTGGCAGACACCGCTTCGCAGAGCCCTGCAACGTGGTATGAGTGAGGGGATGCACAAAAATTAGCATGGGAAGACCTCTCATTTGGTTTGGGATGGAACTCTTCCCACCTTTTTGTGCAACTTTTGCTCTTACATGAAGTGGCTCTTCAAAGTGGGTATACACAATTTAGGACTTCCCAGTAGTTACTGATTGTAGAATACACACAGCAGAGAGATAGGATTAACATGCTACAAGGCTAAGAATTAACCACCCTGACAAGTCTGCTGGCCAGGCATCACTCAAACGGAGGAGGGCTGGCCTTTGTTGCTCCCTAGAAGAGGCTCAGCCTCAGTGTTGCTAGGTGTTGTCTTCCAATTCTTCATTTTTTTAAAAATTGAGATTTTATACCTCCTCATGCAAGTGTTTCACCTCCTGAAACCTTGATATGCTGACTATTCTATCCTGACAATAACTTCTCCATTTGTGTTTTCACTTTTCTTATTTTGCATGGCCTTCTCTTGTGCGCTTTTCCACACCTAAGCAACAAACTTCTTAGTAAAGCTGAGCCAATAGCACACAACTGGGCTGAGCTGAGGGCAAGGAAGGGCACTGATTTTAGAAGCAGCACTTTGTACAGGGAAGAAGGTGGGGGTATACTGTGCTGGGTGGAGATGTCTTTCCAAATAGAATACCTTTTGTGGAAGTGGAGTGAGTTGTAATTTTAGGCAGAATTTTTCTGAGAGTTAATGTTTTTGCAGTACCTCCCTCCTGCATTTAAATCTTGTTGCCTTAGATAATGTTCTCCGGCATGTGGTTACTGAGTACTGCAGTGGCTACAAAACTTTGTGCTATTCCTCATGGCCATGGGAATGCGCAACTGCTGCCCTCCCAAGCCAATGGAGGGAACTGGTGTTGCCAGTGCAGCATCGCTTGTTCACTATTGTGCACAGGCTCTTCTGGGCTGTAGGCTCTAGTCAGATTTTTTATTTCTAGTGTGTTGTGACAGGAAAACGAGCCTACTGAGTAGGTCCTGGGGCGGGGGGCGCAATAGTGCAATAAGCTGTGGTCAAAAATGGGAAACTGAATGCCTGAAAAGTTCAAACAGCTTGACTCCATGAGCAAAAACTTGTCATCACAGAGTTTAATTTGATTTGGTATGTTTAAAAATACCTAGGATAACATGCTGAATAACAGTGGGTTTGGGGCTGTTTGAAGCTTGGTGGAAATAAGACACTAAGTGTATCAGCTTTGTCAATCGGGATGATGTGGTGGTTGATTTGGAATGGTAGGAATGGAAACGAGCTTCAGCCATGCACCTTACATGATGCTCTAAGAGAACGAGCTAAGTCAGTGTCTTGAATAACACAAACACAATTCCAAGTTTATTTATTGGATTAAATGCAGATCATGGTAAAATTATGAAGTAAAGCATCAAAGTCTCACTGGTGTTTCTGTCAATAGCATGACTAGCTTTACTGAGATGCACTCATAAGGTACATAATTTGTCATACATCATTCTATAAATCATACACTGATTAATGGTACAGGTAGCAAGGAAACTATGCAGATATTAAACGGGAAACATGTATGATTGGGTTAAATTAAAAGAGGAAGCAGATGTTAATTCTGGAGGGTTTAGATTGCATATCAGTGAGAGGTAGCAAGAAGCATGTTGCTCATAGTTTTCTTAGCATTTTTGCTGAATAGAACACACAGGAACCTTAACCTACAAAGTTTAGAAAAATGAGGAAAAAATGCCAGGTGATTAGAAGTCAGAAATTAAATGTTAAGCGCTGGACTCACTGCCTCATTTTTTCATGAAGCTGCAAGGGCAGGAGAGAATGAATGTAATATGTCTGTATACGTGTGGTAAGACAGGGGAAGGTGAGGGGCATTTTGGGATTATTCTGGGTTTGTATTAAATTTTGTTAATTTCCAACAGTCTTTAAATTTGAAATGAACATAAGAAAACTGCATTGTAATGCAAATGCAGCTTTCCCAGTGAGGAAAAGGGAGCATATAGATTTCTACAAGTTCTTTTTTTTCTTTCAAGGTTTTTTTTTCCTCCCTGGGATATTCAAGAGGATGAACTGCATTTCCCTTGAAGTCGGCACTTGGCACAGGGCTAGACAATGGCCTGTGTGCAGAGAGCTTTTGTGGCTCCACCTCCCTCTTGAACAACAAAGCCAGAAGAGCAGGTTTGATGCAAGGGAGCAAAATTCTGCATTCGCTTTTCTGTGGAGGGCTGTCTCATTAGGACAATGGAAAGGAGCAGTAGAGGGATGAGTTCTGAGACACAGGATGGTCTCTGGGTGCTGCCTCACTTGCGGGGGAAGAAGAAAAAGAGCATTCACTTTGAGTATGTATGGATACGTGGCTTAAGGTTGAGCTTTTGACACTGCAGTTCACATTTTTCCATTGAACAGTGAACCTTGGGTGCTGTCTGGGTGCAAGTAATAACTCATTCTTGGGGAGAGCAGAATCTGCCAAAAAAGAGGATGCTCTTGGATTTGTTGTGTCTGATGAAGAAGTGGAAAGGGTGGTCAACCTTAAATTTCAGAACCTGGCCAAAAGGAAAACTCGTTGCTTTTCCAATTGCAGTAGCAGCAGCTGCCTCGGTGCCTTTCTCATCAACTGCAACAAAAGACTTGTGAAGAATTCTGGAAATCAGCACCTCACCCTTCTCAGCCATTCCACTGAAATCAGCGTTGCTGCTGAAGGCGCTGTGCATTCCCATGCTGATCAGTTTTTCACAGAGATCATATCTCTCCTCCATTTTGAACTTAGGTAGGTGCAGATCCACAAGAGTTTTGGTCAACTTCTTGGAATCAGTCCATTCGGACAGCTTCTCATACGTCAGTTCTCTTTCCAGCTATCATTTAAGAAAGAGAAGGAATTTGATTTTGCAAGGAAAAAAATTAATTAACTATGAATTAATTTTATGGCAATTTAATGAATTAAACAGTTTTTAAATGGTGAGTTTAACAGCTGAAAGCATGAAATGTACATTAGTTTTAATGATGATCAGAGGCAGGGTGTGCAACAAACATTTGAGACTTACTGCTGCAAGGTTTTGAGCACCACCCCTGCCAAATTCATTGCAAAAGAAAAACAGGGCTCTCAACACCTGTAGCTGCCATCCCCTGAGGTAGTGCTTTCCTCTCTTTTAATTCAGTCTTGATGTGACGGCAGTTGCTGGGAGATTGCTAGCTGTGTGGCACTTGGTTTGGTCCAGTTCCATAGAAACAGGTGTTAATATTGCATGTATTTCCATGGTAATTTTAAAACAAACTGCTTCCAGCAAAATCTTTCACTGCTACCCTGTGTCCTGTGCACTGTGTGACCAGGGTTCAGCTCAGATCAAATGAAGCAGAGTGATGGATGGTATTCTTGACATGATAGATGCCAAAAATTTAACGATCTTGCAATTGTAACTACAGTGGCAGACTTCATCATTGTAGCAAATGCAGTCTCACCAAAATCCTAGTTTTTCAGAGAGCAAAAAAATGAGGGGGGCAGCAAACAGAGTAAGAACAAAATGCTGAATAAACTTCCAGGCCATGGAGAAGAGGTGTCTCTTATCTCAGGAAGAGGCTGTGACTACTTGTGCAATGCTGTCCCTCCTGAATGTGCGGTGAAGGGAGATTTAACCCTCACAGACCATGTAGGATTGGGTGTCAGTCATGGGGCTGTTGAAGAGCTAAGCATCTGACTATGCACAGCGTTGACTGTCTTCAGGTCTTACCAAACTAAGGGCGCTCAGTGTGGAGGAAGTCTCTTGGGATTAGATAGGTATTAATGGAAATTAATTCAGCTAGTGGAGATCAAACAGCACGTCCTCAGAGTGGCAGCTATGGTCACCAGCCTGCCCTTTTTTTTATTGTAATGACTGGGTGGTGATACAAAATGGATGTAGCATACTTTTTTACCTGTTCAAGACCCGTAGTGCTGTCTTTGATGTCATCGGGAAGGAGGATGAACATACTGAGTTCATGATTCTTATACGGCAACTCAATCATTTTGAAATTCATTGTTTCCATGATGAGAACTGGAAATGTATCTCTCATGTGCATCATCTTCACAGGCTTGGTCTTGTTCTGTAAAGTATTTATGTGTAAGAAATCATTCCTTTAAAGGAAGGGTGACAATGACTCAGTGCAGTGGAGGGAGAGGAAACCTTTGTGAGCAGCTTCTATAACAGTGATTTGTCATTCATTTTCCAAAGCTTTTCTTGACTGGACGATATTGCTTATGTTGGTGTTTGTCCCAGAGCATTTTGTTGGGGGCTGAACTGACTGATTTTTCTCTTCTGCCCAAAACATGCACAGCAGCCCACAGAGGAGGAAGGAATAGAGATAGAAACGTCTGCAAAAATTAGGGGGATGGAGCAGGTTTGGGATAAGGCCTTACAACACTATGGCAGAGAAACAGCTATGATTTAAGAGGACAAGCGTTGTACAGTTTTTCTGTGGTCCCCTCTCTTTGGCAATAAAAAGTGACTAGCTGATTTCTCTTTATGTCACAACCCTTAACAGAAGGTAACACTAATGTCTGAGCAAAGGGGCTCATGATGAGGGGAGTTCTTGGCAAGCAGTCACCTTTGCAGGGGTACGTAACCTCTCTTAACACCTATGTCCCTTCATTCAGGGAAGCAGCCAATGTAAGTGTGCTAATCAGAAGGCAGAAGCTACCATTGGTGGAAATTGCACAGAGCTCTTGTCTTTTGATGTGAATTCATTCACATCTCTTCTGGATACATGCCATTAACATTTCTTCTAGTCTTGCCCAACCATGCACCCATTCAGGGTACCCTGTTGCAGCTGTATTTGAGGAATTATGTTTGCGCCTAGCTAGGCTGCACAGCACAGAGGCCCAAGTACTGTACTGACCCATGATGTGGCATGTAGTTCCTGTCCATGAAGCTTGCACTCTCAAAATCATGTTTTTACACTCTAGCCCTTTGAGCACTGTTTTATAAAAATGTCTGAAGTGACTAGTGCTTTTGGAAACAGTAGCTGTTATCTGGAGCTCATTAACATTTACCTGAGCAGCATCTTAATGTTGCAGTGAGCTGAGCACTGACACATTTTGCTGTAACCAGCTTTTCACAGAGAGTCTAGGTACAGTGATGCCTAAAAGACTTTCAAAATGGAAAGATTTCAGCAGTAGCTGTTGTCACCAGGCTGTTAAGGTAAAGAGGATATGGGAGGAACTTACCTTGCTCAGTCGGAAGGGCTGCAGATCCGTGTTTTCTGCCTGAAATTTCACTTCCCATTCTGCCTTGAAGTAAATGGCATTTACCAGGATCAGCTTGGTGGTGTTTTCCACATCTGCTGAATTCAGCAAATTCTTGATTTTGCCTTTTGGAATCAGAAGAGTCAGGTTTCATTCCAGTGTGGCACAGTGAGGACATGTTTTGATTGTTCTTGCTCTCAGTTCAACTCATTAGTGAAAAAATCCATGCCTCAGTGCCCTACTCCCTAAAATACTCCCCTGATATAAATAATTTAGTTTGTTTACAGTTTCCAAAGCTGTTTGCTGCCTGGTTCTCCTGGCTAGCTGGCAGGGATTGACTCCTTCCCCCCAAAATGTCACAGTTTCATGGCAAGCAGCTAGAAGCAGAAAGCCGTATACTGCCTCGTCAGCTGGTTACGCCAGGCAAAAGGAGGCCAGCACCTCTGGCCAGTGCAGGATAGTACAGCTAGGTAGGCGTCCCCACCCACCTTGGAGCACACTGGTAGGCAGAGGTGTTTCTCCTCTCTGTCTGCTCTGCCTGTGGTGCATGGGTGCAGCACCAGGGCAGCACTTGTGCTTAGGGAGCAGCTGATGCTGAGTACAGCAGAGTCGATGGGAGTCTCCCCAAGGAGCTCACTGAGGTCTGGGTCAGGTATTTGAAGCTGCTTAAGTGAGCTGCTCTTTCTCTCTCCTCCCACTGCATCTCTGCTCACTATCCACATTGGAAGGCATGACCTAGCTGCTGCAGTAGCACATGGGGAAGCAAGGGCACCTGCCCAAAGGAAATAGCAGGCTGACTTAATAGGAGAGGAAAGATGTTGGGGTTGAGCTCAGCTTACCCTCAGTTTGTTTTTCAACCCAAGCGTTGACTTCCTTTCTGGATTGTTCCGGTGCTGTCTTAAAGTTAACCTTGTGTGGCTCTGCTTTGTAGTAGTTCTTACTGAGCTGTAAGTATATCTAAAAAAAAAAAAAAAA